AATGTCTGTAAGACACTGTATCTACTTTATGATAGGACCTATTTGAACAGTCTTAGAAGTTAGACGTGAGATTGGCTGGCACGTCCATCACAGGTTTATGAGTCATACAATCCTCAGTGGTAGTTAAAATGGACCTAAAAGAGAAAAAAAATGGATAGGCTTTAGCAGTTGACTAATATAAATCGTTTATTTCAAGTCTTGGGTAATGTTCTTTTGTGAATCAGAGCCTGTGATAGGGAAAGTGGCAGTGTTGTGAGTTCTGTGTAAATGAGGGATTCCTTGCCATTTGGGATTCTGTATCTGCTAAACAAAGTGGGGCAACTCTGCTTATGGAAAAGAAGACTATTCTATTCTGTTTCTCTCCTTTTTCTCTAACAAGCCTCTTAAAGAATGATGAAAACTAGTAACTTTTACTATAAGCTTGGAGAAAGAATTGCAGGCCTGTCGCTTGATACGGAGGTTATGTGAGATGTGATGGCCTTTCCTAAATTAAAACAAACAAAGAGACAAAACAATTAAACCAAACAAAAATAAAATTGTGAGAATGATTATCTTATATGATTTTTTTTTTAATTTCAGAAAGCCAAAGGTAAGTATAAGAAAGCAGTGAAATTTTGCTTGTATCCAATAGAAACTAGGGAATGTGATGATAATGAGAAAGTGGTCTATAGATTCTTGAAAATGTGAAACTGTGTGAATCTTGGTACAAGTCTCTGGAAACACTTAATTATAGATTACTAAGATGCTGCTTTAAGATCATATAGTTCTTCTATGTTCTTTATTACCCTGAAATGTATTTTATCCACCAAACATGTTTTTGTGAACTCCTTAGGGTAGCATTTCTGTCTTCATGTACCACATGCTTATGAAATGCTACATACAATTCTGACACTTCATAATAAAAAGAATAAGTCTAGAAGCAAACACCTTGTATAGAAGGTACGTAGCATGAAATAAATATTATTTCTCAAGATAAGAGAATAAGCCCTGTTCAAAATCATGTGAACAACTACCCTTTTACAGGTCTAAGAATGGATGGAAAAAATGCTTTGCCTTTCAATTTTTTATTAGGAAGTTTTAAAACCAAAGATATACTTTTAGAATAAAAATAGCTGATTTCTTCCTCAGAGAATCAAATGTATAAACTTTTATTTTCTACTTCATAAAGAAAAGAACTGAAATATGTACTTTCTCAGTTCTCTGCTCATCTTCACATCAGCAGATTACAGAGAATTGCCTCATGGCTTGAGTAAGTAAGGTGTCCTCCTATCCAAGGCTTAGCCTACTTCCCATGCTTTGGATTTGATCCTCTTTGGGTTTTGAGGATTATAACTCATGAGTTGTCCCCTCTCTTTTCTGTCTTTTAACTTTCTCTTTCTATTGGTTCTTTCCCCCATCATATAAATATGTTGTCTTTCTCATTAGAAAAGAAACAAATGCATAAACATCCTGAAATTTCATACTATCTCTGGTTACTCTCCTATTTTCTGCTATCCCTTAATATTCTAGCTTCATTTTAAAACATATTTTATGCATTTTTTTAAAGTTGTAAGATTAACACAGGTTCATTGTTAACTATTTAAAACAGACACAAGAAAATTAATCAAATGCCTATCATCTAAAATGAACCACACTTAATACTTTGTTAAGCATAAGTGCAAATTGTAACTTCTTATAAAGCATGTTTTGTCATCAGATACCTTCTATAGAAAAAAAATGGCTAGATGCAGAGTATTTTATTAATTAAATGTACCATAGTTATGTAAATAATCCCCTCCCATTGGATATTTAGAGTATTTCTAATCACATTGTTCTTATGAACAAAGTGAGCACCCTTGTAGCTGAATCGCCCACAGTTTTCTTAAGGTTATATATCCTATAAGTAGAATTAGCAGATTCAAGTGTATGATATTTTTAAAGCTTGATAGATTAACAAAAAGTTTTCAAGAAAGTTTGTATCAATTTATTTTCCTTTTCAACTGTACTTTTTCTCATACCTCCATAATTTTGATCTGTAAAAATTCCATCTCATTGTTTTAATCTTTCTTTTTTCTATATTTGCACATTTTCATGTCTTCATTGATTCTTTGCATGTAATATTTATTATCTATTCATATTCTTCATATTCTTTGCCACTTTTTCCATTGGAGTGATTATATTTCTTGTTAATATTATTTTATATTGAAGATAGCAACCTTTTTTCTAATATATATGTTTGTATTTAGTTAACATACTTTCATATATTTTCTTCATATTCCTTTAATCATTTTAATGAGTTTGATTATGAATTTTTTCAAATATTCAAATTACATTCAGCAATATTGCCCTTATTTTTACTGCTTCTGTTATCAAACTTAGAAAAGCCTTAGCACTTTTATGCAATTGTTTTTTAATGTAAAATTTTATTAAAGGATGATCTATATAAACCAAAATAAACAAACCATTGTGTAAAGCCTTAATAATATATATCCAAGCAACTAGGATAAGAAACAGAATACCACCAGCACCCAGAAGCCCATCATTCACCCTCCCTGCACCTACACCCAACACCATTTTTGGAACTTTTTAAAAAATGAAATCATACAGCAATATTCCCTTGTGTCTGACTCCTTTCAGCATTTCGTTTGTAAGATTCATCTCTTACTGTTGAATGTAGTTGTTCACTGATGCATTTATTCCATGCTGCTATGAGTATTCTTGTACATGTTTCCTGATGAATATGTATACATATTTTTCTTGGGTATATATCCTGGAGTGAAATTTTGGGTCACAGGGTTGGTGTATTTTCAATTTTAGAAGACTCTGGCACATAATTTTCAAAGTAGGTTGTTATTTTGAAGAGAGGTGAAGGATAGGAAAGTTTTAACCCGCTATCATCATGTGTTGACCATTTCTGTATCCTTATTTTGTATTTATACCACATTCAAATTAAAATTTGAACTAAGGAAAGTAGATATAGTTTTTCCATTTTATTTTGCCATTAAGAAATAACTTCAGATTTGCATTTCTAAAATTGGTTCTGTATTCCTAATTAAGGTTAAGTACTTTCCAATTACTCTATTATTTTTCTGTTCCATATATAAGATCTTACAATTCTGATTACATATTATTATTAAAGTCATCATATCTCACATTTTAGGAATTTCTGTGTATTTTGCCTGAATGAAATTTTGAAGAAAACTACTAATTTGTAGTGGAATAGGCAAGGGCTTTGGAGTCAGGCATGAACAGATTCTAATGTTGGCTCTATCACTTGATGAGTTGCATGATCTTTGGCCAAAGTATTGTTTCCTGTAAAATTTTACTACTTGGGGTTGCTTTGAAGATTTAGTGAAACCTCAAACTCTTATGGAATGTTTGCTCTATGGCAGCCACTGATTCTAAGTGACTTGTTATGAGATAACATTTGCCCTTTACAACAACTCTATGCAGTAGCCTCCATTATCATACCTTCTTTAGAGATGAAGAAACTCAGACTGAGGATTGAAGCAACTGTGCTAATTTACCTGGGTTACAAGTGGCAGAGCCAGAATGTGAACACAGTTTGGCTTCAGAGTCCATGCTCATACCGCTGTTCTCCTCCACGTATATAAGACATCTAATTTTGTTCTTGACACCCATTCGGCATGTAAATACTTAATATCCTTCTGCTTAGCGTAAGTCACCAAAGATTTTAAACATATTTGGAGTACGATTTCACACGGTTGATTGTTCTGTAACTACACCATCAAATTAGTTGAAAAAATAAGAGAAATATTTCTAACTAATACTGTGTAAAATGACAAATTTCCAATGCTTCCTGAATATAAATTTTTCCAATCACTGTGGTATCTTCTGAGTCCTAATTCTTCACATTTAGAGGAATTATTACTATACCATGACTTCTTACTAATTTAGAATAGGTAGTTTGCTGATAGTATAGTCACCTGACATTCATGTGTCAAAAGATTTTTGATGAGGTATGGATTGCAAGCTGTGGAAATGCCCTATTCAAGGGAGTTTAATATGTGAATGATGGTGCTGAGAGCACATGGTGTGAAATTTGAAAGGGAGAAAAATAAACGTTCTTTAATTTTAATGTTCTGGTTTCCTAAGGACAGAGGTTGGAGGGTGTCAGCTTTCAGGTGCTCCCTTTTTCATTCCATTCACCAAAGCAGCAATAAGGAAGAGATTCTGTTGGAGACAAAGGTCCCAGTTAGGTCACTTATAACTGAAAAGAGAGTGATGATGTCAAGGCTGGGACACGAATGAGGGAACTGGACTGAGGCACAGCTGGTGGAAGGTGACAAATGGAAAGGACATGTCTTTAAATTATAGTCTACATTGTACGGCCAAAATTATATGCTGCAGTGTTATTCACTGACTAAGGGATTTGCACTGTTTGGGAGAGTTATCTTTCAAAAATGTCAAGTGGTTTTTGAAAAAGGATTTAGAGTAAAACAAATAGAAAAATGCTACTTCGTCCTTTTTTCTTGCAAGTAAGATGCTGGAATTTGCAAGTGAATAAGTATTTTGGGCTTTTAACATGGTAAGTGCCGTAAAAATTATGCAAAAGAATTCTGATTTCTGAATTAATAGAGACAAATTTAATACAGTTTTCCCAATGTTAACTTTATAGCTTTATATCAATATAGAGGATTGATTATTTTCTAACTGTGTGCAAAATTTTGAGGGTTAATGTTCAGTACTTAAGGCAAGATCTATATATACCTAGGCCCTAAAAGAAGCAATTACTAAATAAAAAGGCAAAATCATATTCAAATCATGGTAAATTTTGGTAGCAGTATCAAAGAAATTTTGCCAGTGTGGGTTTATCTTAAAGGGCACATACCAAATATTCAAATTCATAGAAAATGTAAGCACAAACTTCATGTACTTAGACAAATCACTCAAACACACACACACGCGTAAGTGCACAAATACATACATAAAAGTACAGAAACCTTCCCAGATTTTCTCTATCTTGTAAGAACTGTGTGATTATTTTTTTTCTCTGCCAGGTGGTATTTTTGAATATGTGGAATCTGGCCCAATGGGAGCCGAGGAGCTTGCGTTCAGATTTGCTGTGAACACAATCAACAGAAACAGAACCTTGTTGCCCAATACCACCCTAACCTATGACACCCAGAAGATAAACCTCTATGACAGTTTTGAAGCATCCAAGAAAGGTAATTGATAGATATTTAACTGTATGTTTTCTGGAATTCAAATTTTCAGCTATTCTTAAGAGATTTCTTAATCCCTAAAGTAATTAATAAGTCATTAGGAATATTTTCATGCAAATGTTTCTTTTCAAACTGCACATAAATTTTATCAGGGAAGGTAAAGTGATATGATTACCTACTGAAAACAATTGCTTATAACATGAAATGCAGTGAAGTCTGGGATAGTGAAAATTTTTTTTCCCCATTAATCCTTTTGTTTTGCTACTAAACTATTCCTATTTTAAGAATTTTCTAAAATAAAACAATACCATCTGTGGATTTTACGAAGTTTTACAATCAATGTTTACATTTTTATTTGCATTATATGTCAATTCCACTCTATTACTGTGGTCTCAATTTTCTGACTACCTTGAAAGTTCTGTGGTTCCAAGTGACTTCAAAAAGTCAGTCTAACCTTAATTGGAAAAATTTGAACAACCTTTCATTTGTGTATAGTCTATGCCCATTTTTGAACCACTTGATGTTTCTTTTCGTGACTGAAAATAAATGGCTAATGATATGAAAACCAGATTATATGAAGAAATAATAAAAATACCTTATGAATTTTATTTATTTTATTATTTTGTAAAACTATGTTTTAAATATAAGAATAGAAATATAATTTTTGGAATGTGACTTTAATACATATATTAAAGAAGGTAATAGAGAAACTATTATCGAGGCATTATTTTAACCAAACAGTTTTAGTAATAAATATGTTTTGAGAGATGTTTTCATAGGCTTACTTTGTCTAAGCAGGTGATCTTTTCTTTTGCATGTTTAGGATTCATGTAACAGAAATTAAATTTCATAAAATAGATTTTCTCAAAGGAGTGGACTTAGAAAGCATTTGTTCTGAATTCATATTTTTAAAACAATGTTTGCTTTTCTGTAATGCCAATTATTGTTTTATTAGCTACCTTACATTCATAGAAATGTACATAATTATTTATAATTCTAACTTGGTACAGATTTCTTCTAAACTCATTAATATTAATGGCAGTTAATAAGGTACAATATTTCTTGAGATGAAAGTACCCTTCTTTTCCCCCAGCTTACATGTTTTTATCAAAACCCATGTTCTGCTTGCCCTTTGAATTCATATCTTTATGAATAAAAATAAGTTTCCACATTTCAGAACCATGTCAGGGTGATGAAAGGTTTTGAAGGCTGAAAAAAAGGGTAAAGGTTATTGTGAAATACTACATTTGTCATCATAATTGCAAAATAAGTCATTAACTGCAAGACAAGTGCATTTGATTATTGACATAGTTCATGATTATTTCCATTAGGAAGAAGAAGCTCTGTCTCAAATGAAATAATTTAGACCAAAGAATATGGAATATGAGTGCAGTATAAATAAAGTATTAATAGATTTCTTAATGGTACTTCAAAGTAGCAACATAAAAAAAAAAGTGGACTAGAATGTTCTAACAACAAACAGCTTACTATCTTGCGAATATCTTAGCAAAATTGTGAGGTGGTAAACTCATTTCGTTTTCAAAATATTAAAAAGGATTTACAAATTTTGTCACCCATTAAAAATCTATTGGGAATCCAGTTCGTTAAGTGACTTTGGCCTGAAGCTGAAAAAGTTCAAGTAAGTGTATGAATAAGTTTCTTTGTGAGTTGTTTAAAAGGGTGGATGTCGAGGTTTGGAACTTGTCTTGTGAAGCTCTTTCTTGTCAACCTATTGCTGGTTGGAGGGCACAGCAATATATAAAAGATAATAAAAAGGAGAGATCTAACATAGTTTTTGAATCTTATGGGGCCTCAATAAATATATATGTAATACTGATATTTATGACTAATTACAAAATAGCAAATAATAAATTTGGACATTCTTAAAATTTTTTAAAAAATAATTTTTCCAAGGCAAGAATATATGTTAAATGTCTAAATGTAAACATTTTCAGTGATATATGGTCTTATACTTTTAGTAGATAATATTGTTTTGCTCCATAAATAAACTTTGATGCACTAGAGCTTGAATTATTATTTGAATCATACATTGCTTTTAAGTGACTCCTCTGATACCTGAAAACTCTATTTCTTATTTGAACACACTTCAAAAAGTTCTATGTAAACTAATACAGTGGTTTTTAACTTTCTTGATTTGTGACTTGTCAAAAATCTGGAGAAGGAAGATCTTTTATTTTCCATGTATGTGAATTAAAACCTGTGTGAGTGAAAAACTTTAGGCTCTAACCTTTCTCCTGATTTAGAATTCTAATCATTATTTTAAAAGTAAGAATCTATATATTCAAAAATTGTTTATTTATATCATATTGAATTTTTGAAGAAAGTGTAAACTTTTTTTTCCAACTAAAATTTATTAAATATCTCTATGCTTAAGAATCCATCCATCACATTTTATTTTATGTGGCAAAATCTCTGAAGGAAAATATCAGAAAATTTTGCACAGTAGAATCACAAACTATTTGTGAGGGATTAAATCTGAACACCTAATTGATCCCTAAATCCCAATAACAATTCTCCTTAGTCATATTGAAATATTTGCAGGGATATACAAACCATTGCCTCTTGGAGCAAACTTCCACTTTTGAACATTTCTTACTTCCCTTAAATTGTATCAAAATTTGTGAGAAACTTCTAAACATTTGCCCTAATTCTTCCTTCTCCAGTCAAATGAAACAAACTTTAGCCTCTTTCACAGGCCAGATCTTCAAATATTTAAAGATGAGTTTCATGTTTCCAATAACTATTGACTTTCTAGACCCGAACTTGCCAGTTGCTTTAGTGTACCTTATAGAAATTCAAGTCCCGTCACAGTCTTTCTGTTCCCATCTGAATACCTTCTGATTTAATTGTGTCTCTCTTAATTACTGTAATTATTATTGATGTGAGTAAACTTTTCTACAAGTAAATATTGGACTGGTCAAAAAGTTCATTTGGGGTTTTTCCATATGATGTTACAGAAAAACCCAAATGAACTTTTTGGCCAACCCAATATAAACTTAAAAAAAGTAATTCAGTACAATATAGAAGACTTATAGTATCCAAAAGCCAAATAAATAAAGACCATTAAATACTTATTTATTTAATTACATACTTTGATGTTCTTCCTACTCAATGAGATTAATCCCTATGAAATCACCCTCTATGACTCATGTCAGGTTTTGTATGGGTGTTTGTATGCACCGCTTGACCTATATCATCAGATATTTGCAGATACTTAGCTATGTGTAGCCATGGCTTTTTGGATGGGCAGTGGAAGATAAATGGCTTCTGATTAAGAATTTGAAATTGTAGAGAATGACCAGTGAATTTGGGAAAGAACACTATTCCCCGATATGAAGTATTCTTCCAAAATGAACACTCTCCCCTTAAATCCTAGAATATTCCCCCTCTTTCTCCTTTATCCTCTCCTCCCTTGACATTATTTGTAGAATTATTTGAACGTTGAGCTGTAGGTGTCTAGGTGAGTTTCCCTTGTAACAAACTGAAAATGTTTGGAGTTAGACAAAATGTAAAATCAGCTAGATGCAGATGTTATATTAAAGACAAATCTTCCTTCAAGATGATGCCTTTGGGTTAACAATAATAATGTGGTAATATTGGCACACTGGCGTCTCTCCTCTCATTATTGACAGACTTCTATCTCCTCTTCAGCCTGTGATCAGCTGTCTCTTGGGGTGGCTGCCATCTTCGGGCCTTCACACAGCTCTTCAGCAAATGCAGTGCAGTCTATCTGCAATGCTCTGGGGGTTCCCCACATCCAGACCCGCTGGAAGCACCAGGTGTCAGACAACAAAGATTCCTTCTATGTCAGTCTCTACCCAGACTTCTCTTCACTCAGCCGTGCGATTTTGGACTTGGTGCAGTTCTTCAAGTGGAAAACTGTCACAGTTGTCTATGATGACAGCACTGGTAAGAAAAATCAGTAGCCTTTGCAGCTATGCTTTAAATATAGGTAATTTTCTGAAACTTATTCTAGATTCTTACTGTATTCTTTTTGTTTGTTTTTGTTCTTTTCTTGTGTTTTTTTTTTTAATTAAGGGAAGGAAAACATTTGAAATGAAACATTAACACTAATTTCATACATCCAAACAAAGAAAAAAATCATACACCTTTTTTTTCTATATTTGTAAAATAAGCACTTTTGTTCTAGGAAGGATGTTACTGTGAGCCATAGTATTGGATGAAGAATAGAGATAGTGTGAAATATAGTGTGTAATATATAATATTGAAATATTCATTCAAAGAATTTTTCAGGGTAGTTTCCCAGAGTAAAGCCTCATAACTTGCTGTCACTGAAGCTTATCAAGAAATCCAGGAAAAAAAAAAGAAATTCAGACTTTGGCCTTAACATTTTCTATAGCTGTTTATGTGCAAAGAATGTGTGTGAAAAGTAATAACCTTTATATCTGGATAGCACGTTAAAGTACCTATTGAAATACTCTGAGTTTTTGGAACTGTTCATATGTTCATAGCTTAGGGACTTGGAAAATAGTATTTACTAAGTTGTATTTATTTCCGTGTCTTTAGATGAATATTTGCTGGCTAGAGGTGGTCTGTGCTTTCTTGTTTTAATGTATGTTATTATTTTTATATATGAATGGTTATTTTGAGGTATCAGATAAAAACAAGTCTCAGAGAAATATAAGAACGTAAACAATAAAAATAAAGTATTAATTTCCTTGGAAGTTATATTGGTAAAGGAACTGCATACTATTTTGATTATTACTTAGTGATAAGGAATTTCACATTAAGATGTTTATCACTAGTCTAAATAGTGCTCTTTAAGTTAGAGTTTTAAAATATTTTATTCTAGAACATTTCACTATACCTTTATGTTTACATTAAAATTGAAATTCATTTGAATTTAAATTCTCCCCAAATACACCAGGAGCTCACTTTGTTTATAAATGTAGTATTTAGAACTACATGCAGAAATTAGTCCCTTTGCCAATAAAATTGACCATTTGCAAATTGACAGATAGGAACTCTCCCAAGAGAACAGAGAACAGGGAGTTACAGGGTTGGAAAAATAATGTAAATAATTTGAAAAATTTTAAAACTTAGGATAAGAAAGAGTAAGTCTAAATACACATAAATAGTATAATTTTGCATTTTTGATTTAAAAAAGTGAAATGTTTGTTAAAAATTTTAACTTTAGAAATACAACAATAAAAGCCCTTAAAAATAACCTAAGTACCTTTGATGTGTTTTTAAGCTTAAATTAGACCTGTTAAATTTATTGCATTGTTATATTCCAAATCATTACTTTTCTATCATTGGTAAAGTTCTATATGTCAAATTATGAATGGCAGGTTCTGTGTGAATGGTTTCTCTGAGGGTGTGTAATGTGATACTCCAGGGTATGCTCAGTTACAAAATGGTCCATTTATGTTTATGGATGGTCATATATAGAAATATACAAATATGAATACACATGCATGAATCCATAGTTTATTTACTTCTCCTTTCTCTTCTGATATAATTCAGGTGAATTCTGACTAAATATCACATATCCTCATATGTATATGCACAGAAACATGGTATATATACACACATATATGTTATACATATATATGTATATTATACATGTGATATTATATATTTATTTCTTATTATCTTAAAACTCCTCATAGTAGAAAGAAATTTGGCAAATGTTCAAAATGTTTATGATATACCACATTTCCTCATTATTCTGTTTGTATGTATATGTATTTGACATTTTTACTTCACATATGTTGTTCTTGAGTGACTGAATAAAGAGATAAGGGGATTTGTGATCAAGGTCACATCATAGTTTGGTGAAGTAATGTTTCATATGTAGTTGATCTTTTGCTTTGAATAATATTCTAAATATTTATATCATTGAGACAAATTTAAATAGAGAAATAGTTAATTAGATGTATATACTTTTAACAGAGACTTGACCTAAGATTACATTTATTAAAATAGTTTAAGCTAGGGCTTCCCTGGTGGCGCAGTGGTTGGGAGTCCACCTGCCGATGCAGGGGACGCGGGTTCGTGCCCCGGTCCGGGAAGATCCCACATGCCGCGGAGCAGCTGGGCCCGTGGGCCATGGCCGCTGAGCCTGCGCGTCCGGAGCCTGTGCTCCGCAACAGGAAAGGCCGCGACGATGAGAGGCCCGCGTACCACCAAAAAAAAAAAAAAAATAGTTTAAGCTAATATTTAAAAGAAACTTCACCACTACTATCACTTGAAGGTGACATCAATACTTGGATATTCTAAAAGTCTTTGATTATTTAAATATGAATGCTAACCTAGAGTCATTACAGAATTATTCATAGAGTAAGTATGCCTTAAAAATCCTCTGAGGGGAAAAAAGCATGTTAATGCTCCATTTTATGCAATATTTAATTCAACAAACATTGATTAAGCCCCTGCTACATTCCAGGGACAGTACCAGGTGTAAGTATATGCCAGTAAAAGAAACAAACTCCAGGCCCCTCTTGAGCCTCTAGTTTCTATTTAGGGATATGTGGTTGTTCATGTTTTTAATATTATTTGTAATGAAATAATTGCATTTGTAACTGGCCTTTTAATTTACTTTTAATTTAACACACTTTTAGAACTTTGCTATTCTTGATTTTTTAGGGGATAGAACTGACTCTAAGATAGAAGATTGTCTTTGAAATGAATTCATAAATATATAGAAGTAGGATTTTTTTTTTTTTTTTTGGTATTTTTGTATATGTTTAAAAGTCTCAAGGTGGAATTTTTTTTTTTTTTTTTTTTTTTTTTTTTGCGGAACGCAGGCCTCGCACTGTTGTGGTCTCTACCATTGCGGAGCACAGGCTCCGGACGCGCAGGCTCAGCGGCCATGACTCACGGGCCCAGTCGCTCCGCGGCATGTGGGGTCTTCCCGGACCGGGGCACGAACCCGTGTCCCCTGCATCAGCAGGTGGACTCTCAACCACTGTGCCACCAGGGAAGCCCTCAAGGTGGAATTTTAATAACAGAACTTAACAGAGAGAATTTGTAAACTTCCCAAGTGAACAAGATGACTATTTGATCATGTGGGAGAAAATCTGATGACAGCTAGGACTGTGAACTGAAATGGGAGAGAAATCCACCTCATACCCAGTGAGATAAACATTAATAACTTCATTATGAATTTGTGTATCTGCTGTTTACTGCATGATGCAGTATGCATTTTATATATGTTTCTTTTTTCCTTTCCAGATTTATTATGTATGCTGTTCCTCCCATTTATATTCATTTCTATTTTGTTGTGTAGTCCAGTTTGATACATGATAATTATACTTTCATCCAGTCTTCGTTCCCACCCACAAAACAGATGGGATGGTAGATGAAGTATAGTGCTGGAGTAGGAGAAATTCTTAGAACGATGTTAACAGGACCTGTTTATTTTTTATGATAATTAGCATTTGTTGTTGTCGTGGATGAATGCTTTTAAACACCCTGAAAGTCTGTTATACCTCTGAATGATGTCCAAAATGATGGAAAAGAATTGGCTTCAGAAACAAAACTGTGTTTCTGTCAGTCATTTTGGAACATATGATTCATTTTAAACATAAACTAAAAATAAGTTGGATAGCTGTCAGCTTGTAAGCAATTCCAGGATAAGTTGTGAATATTTGCTTTAAAATTCCTATGTTTCATCTTTGTTTATAGATCAGCAGTCCATTAACAAAGAACTCTGGACTGGTAAACAAAAGGCTGGGAGTCTAGGCCCAGTTTTGCTACTAAATTACTGGTACAACTTTGGAAAAGAAAAGAAGGAAATTGAAATGATTACGGAAAGCAGCTATGGTGCACTAGGCATCGAGGTAGTTGCTATCATATAAACTATTACACTTAATCTTCAAAACAATTATATAGAAACAAAACAATTCTAGGGAAACAGGTTAACACTTCACTATCCTTGCTTCCTCCAGTAACTGGCTTTTCTGCCCACCAGCAGCCCAAGGCAGAAACTTGAACATCTTCCTTGATTCCTACCTTTCTTCAGTCCCACAGTCAAGCTCTAATGGTTGTTAATTCTACATCTCTATGAACTCTCAAATCTGTTCATTTCTTTCATGCTTTCTAACTAATTCTTAAGTCAAAATCTTTCACCTGGATTATTACTAACAGTCTCTCTACTAATCCAGTCTCCACACTGCAGTTAAAGTAATTTTTAAAAATACAGTTCTGACCCATTGTCCTATTAATAGTTTCTCTTGCTCTAAGGATAAAGTTAAAACTTTTTTGGAAGGTTTACAAGACCTGACTTCATCTAGTCCCTGTACCTCTCCAATGATATTTGAGTCTAAATCCCTCACTTATGTCTTTCAAATTGAGCCATTAAATTTCTTTCAGGTTCCGAAAATACTGTCCAGTCCACCTGTTTCTCTCATTCTGGCCCCAACTCCTCCTCCCCACTAAGCACCCACACACATGCACGTGTGTATTTGCACACACACACACATTCATACCATCTGGCTTACATGTCACAAAGAAAGACTGTCCTGACCCCCAGCTCCCAAGCCTGGAATAGGTCTCCCTCAACATATCCCCATAGCACTGCAGTACTCCCATGACCATCCCCTATGAGAACATTCATCACACTATGAATGACTTTTCTTGGCTGACTTTTCCACTCAATCAAATACACATCTGAATAGGATGGACCGTAAGGCTGCCCACTGTTCTATCGTTGGCACCTAGGTATTACCTGGCTCATGGAAATACCTAAATAAATATTGAAGGAATGAATGCATAAAAAGGTATTATTATATCCAGTGTTTAGATGAAGAAGCTCCAATGGATTAAGTAATCTGTCAGAGGTCATTTTAGGTTAGGTAGCTCTTTCGTACTCGCCATTGAGTAAATAGATTCAACAATAATCATTTCAAAAATTTTATAAGATATCTGGAGTGAATTGTGCTTAT